GTAGGTAGTGTGAGGTGAAATTGAGAGAAGAATATAGCTTTTTAATACAAAAAAGAAAAAAAAAAGAAAAAAAAAAAAAGAAAAAGAAAAGAAATCCAAGTTGTCAATAGTGCGACGCAGTGTGCTCCAGCCTGAAACTAAACAGTCTCCCACGAGTTAACCTTTAGGTGCACTGGTGCTAGCGAACATAATGCCTTGAAACTTGGTGCGGAATAATCGGGCAAAGGATACCAGCAGATTCTCCATGCAACTTGTGTAGTAGGTGGCGGGCAGCCGCAGGGAGTCAGTCAGACAAGCATCCGTCATCACCCATGGAGAACCCTGGCTACACTGCAGACTGTTGGTTGGTGGCGGGCAGCCGCAGGGAGTCACTCAGACAAGCATCCGTCATCACCCATGGAGAACCCTGGCACCAACAGATTCTTCATGCAACTTGTGTAGTCTATTCTGTGTCATGAACAAGGAATGGAGTCCGCCGTGACAGGTCGCAAAAAACGTGCACAAGGATATTAGCCAGTCAAAAAAGGTCCAATACCTTGGCAAACAATGCCGAAAAAGTAAGCAAGATCAAATCCAAAGAAAAAGTGCTAAGACAGCCCCTCTTTGGCAACACAAGGGTGAGGGAGGATGGAAATACTCCATGGCCCCGGACCCGGAAATGCAGTCAAAGGTGGTCCTCTTTTTTTTTTTTTTCCCACATCTCTGTCTTCGTTGTATATGAACCTGGCCATAATATGATCACTGTCCATACCTCTGAAAAAAAAAGGAAAAAAAGGTTGTCCTGGGTTAAGAATGGTATATGGAATATCAGTCACTTATGGATTGACGAAGAAGGTGAGTGGATAAGAGAGAACGAATTGAGGACCCATCTCAAAGGATGCCAGCTTTGTATATAAAGAAAAAGACTTTTCCTATCGGAAGGGGAAAAAAAAAAAAAAAACAATATGCTATCATCTCAAGTACGGCAGAGAGTTGGAAATAACTTCTCAAAGAAAAATTCACATGGAAAAAATAACTTCTCAAAGAAAAATTCACATGGAAAAAATAACTTCTCAAAGAAAAATTCACATGGAAACACCAAGGAGATTGGCGAGTACAGATAAAGCCCTACCAATTGTCCCACCACCTTGTCCTCTGTGGTACTACAGCACCTGTGCTTTTTCATCTAGTAGCTCAAAGAGAACTTTCCTCTGTGGTACTAAACGGTCCGGTGGTAATATAGAACACAAATCCAAAGGTAGAGTTTGTCAATACATTCGTTCTCGGTATTTGCAAGCACATACGGCTATCGAAGGGATGGAATTTGATTCCACAGAATGGGGCTGGCAGCAGCTATTAAGAATAGATTTGACTACTGTCTTCGGCGGAATAAAACATATGGTCATTATAGCTATATATGTGGCTCACCTTTCAGTCCGGATGCAGCGAAAACGACCGAACAGTCTATTCAGGGGAAGAAGGTAGACTTATCTGATCATATCAAGATACCATGGAGAATTTATAGGACCATATGCACCATCAAAATTGGAAGCCTCCAAAGGCTCATAAGTACATAACCTATCGGGCGCTCGAAGTCGACTACTGGCTCCACGTCAGAAGAAGGAAATGTGGTCACAACAGTTCTGATTGCCGAATAGTGCTCTCAGATCAAGAACAGGGGAATACTGGACTAGAGCCTCGAACCTCTGAAACCGCCAATGTCCGAAAAGAACATTACGAGGGGGTATTTAGGAAGACATGGTTTTCTTCCTGAACACCCCATCCAACTTCTCCTCTGGACTTGCACCCCCTCCCAATTTGGTACAACCGAAAGGTCTGGTTCGTGACGATCCATAAAGCAGCACTGCGAGCCATCTGGAAAGGAAGTTGCAGCATAACTTCAGGCGAGTCCCAACCCTCATGCAGGAAAGCATGGGAGCAGAAGTGAAAGGCATGATCGAGGCTGAAATCCCTTTTTTCCTCTTTCTTTCTTTTTTCAAACGACCCGAGTGGATGGCAAAAAGTTGAACTCTTAGCGCGGAGAAATCCCGATGCAGAGAGGGCACAACTCCCATTCTCAAACAAGCAGCATTTCCTGCTTCTTGTGTTGTTGTTGTTGTTTTTTTAGCTACCGTGCACGGTTCCCAGGTGTGACCGATGCAATGCCAATGAGTAGCCGGAAACAATTCACATGATTTACATATGACACCACCATGAAAATGCACATGCAAGTCTGGGTGGATGAAAGGTAATGAGCACGTTGCAATTGCATGTATGACACATCCCATGCGAATGTCTAAACAAAATCATTAATCGTTCCGTGGCTTCACAAGCTCGATTGCACTTGCTAAAAATGACACCCTATTGTCAATCCAATAATTCAATGTCATGTTTGCTTCACAACTCTGTCCATTTGCGGCCTCAGTCTGAGTACCAGTCCTACCGTCTTCACCCGAATAGAACGCCGGGTCATTATGGCCGTATTTGGGGCAACTTTCAGACCAGATGCGGCTATAATGACCGGGTGTTCTATTCGGGTGAAGACAGTAGTCCCGGGCCTGCTTCACCGGCCAGGGTTCTTAGTCTGTTTCCTACTTAAACCACCAGTACTTGGCCCAGCTATCGGCCCAGCTATCGGCCTGCTTCACCCGAATAGAGCGCCGCGGATTTAGGGCTTCGGGGTACTGGACCTCAATGGCTGGAAGCGCCAGCCATATAAAAAATGAAATGGTACCCCGTCGCTTTGGCAGAAATCGGCGCGCAGGGGGATTCCAGGCTCGGCATCGATAGCTAGGTCAAGTACTGGTGGTTTAAGTGGGTCAGGAAGGGGACTCCGTGATCTCCGTCCTTACGCCATTGATCTGCATACACTCTTGTGTTGTAAGCCACTGCCAGTATAACTATCCATCCAGGACTTCTACCCCTCTGGGGAGTGCGAGCCCATTAGGGGGAGACCACGTCCCCGCCATGTTTAACGGCCTAAATGTGCTGGCTGGGTTGCCAATGGTTGGTGTTGTCTAAGGTCTAGATCGCCACATCACCGAGCCTGATAGGCGAGCCTTCTGAATGCAAGCTGAGTAGCTTTCTGAATGAGATAGGCCCATTGGCCATTTGACAGTTTTTCTCTGAAGCAAATTGGCCAGTCGGCAGTTTTGCTGTGAGACCACCAGTACTCAAGCAAGGTGTGCTGACTGGCCTTTCGTGGATGTATGGGCCTGCTTGCGCCTGGTTCAAGTCAAGTTCAAGACTCTCCAGCCGTGCTTGGTCCATCCAGTTGGCAGAGCCATACCCTTAGCTGTGTTGGGAACCCCTCATACCCGATCTTCAGACGCGTGAGAGCGGCATAGAAGAGTGCCCAAGGGACCCCTCCAATGGGCGTTCCATAACCCATACCCTTGGTTGTGCTGGGAATCTCTCGTTAGGACGCTAGCTATGTGGGATGATGCCACTTTGCCCTAGGGCTAATGGTGTGCTACTTTGAGCACTGCAGTACACCAGTACACGGTCCCAGCCTTGCAGAAAGTCTTTTGTTGCCTACTCCGAAAAATTTCGCGGTTCATGTTGTCGGGGTAAAACACGCATACCTGTTCTGGGTAGTGATCACGCCTGTCTCCTCACCTGCTTCCGGCTTCCTGGGGCCGCGACGGGCTGCGGGCCCGCGACTTCGCGGTATGTCAGTTGTTTCTCTTTTCTGCACATTCCTGGAACTCCACAGGCTCTTACGAGCCTCTGTGCTTCCAACCCCTATTATGAAAGGTTATTCTTCATGCGCTCGACAAATTCGTCTCGTTGACCCTCAACAAAGCCAAATTCGACACGGAAACTCCCCCTCGAAGACTCAGCCGCGAGGCTCGAAGACTATCGTAAAGGGGGAAGGCCCTTAGATCTCATGGTTGAACTGGCCGGCCCCAGGCAATTCAGAATGATTTTATTCTCTTCATCTGAAGGCATTCGGATTCGAACCTGCGTCCGTATATCAACAATTTAGGGGTGTACGAACTGACGGGTAAGCCCTTTTTTTTTTTTTTTTTTTTTTGTGGGTAGGCCCTTTTGGTAACTCCCGACTCCTCGAAAATGAGCGGTTGACAGTCAACCGAACGGAATTTGGCGGGAATCCTCCATCCTTGTTCCTCATTTGAGTTCAAACGAACGGAAGTCTGGCGGGAATCCTTCCTCCCTCCATCCTCCATCCTCCCTCCTTTTGGTAACGACAATTGGCACGATCCGGCCATCTGATATCCTTCACCATAAGCAGATCCCATGGCACTCCTTGGTGGCTCCGGGAGGAATTTTGTCCAGCGGGGCAATACCGCAGCCTGAAAATCCAACCTTCAGCGCCAATTCTATCCTCCTCGGGGCCTACCATGGCTTGTTTGCTGCACTCTCCTTCGGCGGGACAACATATCCGTTAAAATTGGCACGATACAGAGGAGATTAGCATGGCCCCTGTAGAGGCATGGCACGCGTAAATCGAGAAAAGCTACCAATAGTTCGCCGCACGCGTCCGTACATAAGCGTGTTTGAGTGTCAATGGAGACCAGGGATTAGCGCATTGAGAGCATACTCTTTCTTACTACTACCGCGGTAGTAGGACTTCCTTGTCGTTTAAATATCCGAAATTGCGGCTTCTCCTGCGTGCATCTAACTGCACTTACGTCCAGAGAGGAGCCAAAAAAATGTCCAAGTGCGAGTATGCCCTGAGCATGTTGAGTCATGTGGAGCAGGTTGGAATATGTTGGAGCATGTTGAGCGTGCTGAGCACGTTGAGCATGTTGAGCGTGCTGAGCACGTTGAGCATGTTGGGACGTGTTAGAACATTTGAGCATGTGAGGTAGAACCAGCAACCAGTCACGAGCCCGGGTTAAAAAACAAAACAAAAAAAAATCCAGAGAGGGGATGCGTGGACGTATATGAGCTGGAATGAATGTGTGCTTCGCGACCTGGATCCCGACGAAGAGGAAAAGGCTGCTGCTGATCGCTTGATCGGGACAGGATGCTTACGACAACAGTGGAGATGTTGA